ACGGCTGGCCGCAGCAGGTCGAGAAGGCAGTGATCAGGCCCAGCGTGTGGCTGGAGCTCCACCCTCTATTTAGGCTCCCGCCTGCCGCTGGAGCTATATTTTTTGATATGAATGCAGGAGCCTCGAGAGTTAGGGCGCGAGCACCCTCGTCCTCCACACGTCTTCCTTGAACAATTAATAAGTCTGGGGAAAATATAAAGCAGGTTTTTGGGTAAGAGCGACACAAATTATCTCCCGTTCCCCCCCTCCCGAATGTGTGCCGCGCTCGTGTCTAGCAGAGGCTGGAAGCGTGAAGGCACAAGTGCCAGTCTGTTGAAGATGGGACTGGGGGTTTCGCAGCGTGGCTTCGTGGCCCGTCCGTGGGCCGAGGCACGGTCAGGAACCTCTCGGCCTTTTTAAGTTTCGGGCCTCGCATGGGGCCCCGCCGCAGCGAACAGATACTTTCGGAGGGTGCCCCCTCCTCTCGAGCCGCTCGCTGTTCTGTGGGTGTGTCTCCTCCCGCTGCTGCGTCGGATATTCTGTGGGGCCTCTTTTCATTAGGGTTGTCGCTCTACCCCCGCCTGCCCCCAGCACTTTAAAATCAAGATTTTAAAGGTACAGGCACGCTCCGAGTTAACATAGGTTCAAGCCTGGCTCTCGAGTGTGGGTGTTGTGTAAATACGCGTTTTTTAACACACTTTTACACGCCCCCTTTAAACGTTCAGATAGCCGCCTCAACTGTATTTTAGGAGTAGGGCTAGCTCGTTCTCTCTCGTGCTTGCCCCTCCGCTCCTTGCGCAAAGTTTCGGTTCCCAACCCTGCCCCCCCTGGGCTTGTATGGGCTCTGGGGGTTTCGCAGCGAGGCTTCGTGGCCCGTCCGTGGGCCGAGGCACGGTCAGGAACCTCTCGGCCTTTTAAGTTTCGGGCCTCGCATGGGGCCCCGCCGCAGCGAACAGATACTTTCGGAGGGTGCTCCCTCCTCTCGAGCCGCTCGCTGTTCTGTGGGTGTGTCTCCTCCCGCTGCTGCGTCGGATATTCTGTGGGGCCTCTTTTCATTAGGGTTGTCGCTCTACCCCCGCCTGCCCCCAGCACTTTAAAATCAAGATTTTAAAGGTACAGGCACGCTCCGAGTTAACATAGGTTCAAGCCTGGCTCTCGAGTGTGGGTGTTGTGTAAAAGATTAATTGTGTCTGTGTGTTTCTTTCCCTCCTGACTGTAGAGGGGCACGCCCAACTCAACACCATGGGTACCCCGGCAGCGCCTGCCCCCGGGCGGACCCCGCCAGCGCGCGCCGTGCCCCAGCAGGGCATGCCGAGGTGCAGCCTCCCCGTCCCAGGGGGAGAAGCCGCCGTACCCCGCACCACTGGCCGGGGTACGGCAATTGCTGGCCTTTCCACGAAAGTCTTCAGTCCGAAAAATGAAAAAAAATCCTGGCGAAGGACCCAACCATATGCAATTGTGAGTTCCGCAGTTGTGGATATTTTTTCGGTGGAGCTCCCTACGGGGCCACGAAACGTACGAGGGGTGTGCCGAAATGGTTGTGCGGGACGCATGCGGGCACACCCACTGGGGCCTTCGGTGGAGCTCCCTATGGGACCACAAAACGTACGAGGGGTCACGAAACGCGTGAGGGATGTGCCGAAATTAATGTGCGGGACGCATGCGGGCACACCCACTGGGGCCTTCGGCGGAGCTCCCTTTGGGGCCACGAAACGTGTGAAGGGTGTGCCGAAATGGGTGTGCGGGACGCATGCGGGCGGCAGCACTGGGACCTTCGGTGGAGCCCCTCTACGGGGCCACGAAACGTGCGAGGGGTGTGCCAAAATGGGTGTGCGGGACGCATGCGGGCACACCCATTGGGGCCTTCGGTGGAGCGCTCCCTAGGGGCCACGAAACTTGTGAGGAGTCACGAAACGCGTGAGGGGTGTGCCGAAATGGATGTGCGGGACGCATGCGGGCACACCCACTGGGGCCTTCGGTGGAGCTCCCTATGGGGCCACGAAACGTGTGAAGGGTATGCCGAAATGGGTGTGCGGGAAGCATTCCCTATGGGCCCACGAAGCGCGTGAGGGGTGTGCCGAAATGGGTGTGCGGGACGCATGCGGGCGGCAGCACTCTGGGGCCTTCGGTGGAGCTCCCTATGAGGCCACGGAACGTGTGAGGGGTGTGCCGAAATGAATGTGCGGGACGCATGCGGGCGGCAGCACTGGGGCCTTCGGCGGAGCTCCCTTTGGGGCCACGAAACGTGTGAGGGTGTGCCGAATTGGGTGTGCGTGACGCATGCGGGCGGCAGCACTGGGGCCTTTGGCGGAGCTCCCTTTGGCGCCACGAAACGTGTGAGGGGTGTGCCCAATTGGGTGTGCGTGACGCATGCGGGCGGCAGCACCGGGGCCTTCGGCGGAGCTCCCTATGGGGCCACGAAACGTGTAAGGGGTGTGCCGAAAAGGTGTGGCGGGTGGGAGCGCATGCGGGCGCAGCACGGGGCCGTTCGTGGAGCTCCTATGGGGCCACGAAACGTGTGAGGGGTGTGCCCAAATGGGTGTGCGTGACGCATGCGGGCGGCAGCACTGGGGCCTTCGGCGGAGCTCCCTATGGGGGCCACGAAACGCGTGAGGGATGTGCCGAATTGGTGACGCATGCGGGCGGCAGCACTGGGGCCTTCGGCGGAGCTCCCTATGGGGCCACGAAACGTGTGAGGGGTGTGCCGAATTTTGCTGCCAGACGCATGCGGGCGGCAGCACTGGGGCCTTCGCGGAGCTCCCGGGGAACCTTCCCAGACTACGGTTAGGCAAAATGGGGGCCCACGAAACTTGTGTGGGGTGTGAAGAGGGTGGGTGGGGGTGACTGCATGCGGGCGGCAGCACTGGGGCCTTCGGCGGAGCTCCTATGGGGCCACGAACGTGGTGAGGGTGTGCCGAATTGGGTGTGCGTGACGCATGCGGGGCGCAGCAACTGGGGCCTTTCGGTGGAGCTCCCTATGGGGCCACGAAAACGTGTGAGGGGTGTGCCGAATTGGGTGTAACTGACGCATGCGGGCGGCGGCACTGGGGCCTTCGGTGGAGCTCCCTATGGGGCCACGAAACGTGTGAGGGAGTTGACGAAATGGGTGTGGCTGACGCATGCGGGCGCGGGCACTGGGGCCTTCGGTGGAGCTCCCTATGGGACCACGAAACGTTTGAGGGGTGTGCCGAAATGGGTGTGGGTGACGCATGCGGGCGGCAGCATTTGGGCCTTCGCCTATGGGGCCACGAAACGTGTGAGGGGTGTGCCGAATTGGTGTGGGTGACGCATGCGGGCGCGGGCACTGGGGCCTTCGGTGGAGCTCCCTATGGAGCCACGAAACGTGTGAGGGGTGTGCCGAAATGGGTGTGGGTGACGCATGCGGGCGCGGGCATTGGGGCCTTCGGTGGAGCTCCCTATGGGGCCACGAAACGTGTGAGGGGTGTGCCGAAATGGGTGTGGGTGACGCATGCGGGCGCGGGCACTGGGGCCTTCGGTGGAGCTCCCTATGGAGCCACGAAACGTGTGAGGGGTGTGCCGAAATGGGTGTGGGTGACGCATGCGGGCGCGGGCACTGGGGCCTTCGGTGGAGCTCCCTATGGAGCCACGAAACGTGTGAGGGGTGTGCCGAAATGGGTGTGGGTGACGCATGCGGGCGCGGGCACTGGGGCCTTCGGTGGAGCTCCCTATGGAGCCACGAAACGTGTGAGGGGTGTGCCGAAATGGGTGTGGGTGACGCATGCGGGCGCGGGCACTGGGGCCTTCGGTGGAGCTCCCTATGGAGCCACGAAACGTGTGAGGGGTGTGCCGAAATGGGTGTGGGTGACGCATGCGGGCGCGGGCACTGGGGCCTTCGGTGGAGCTCCCTATGGAGCCACGAAACGTGTGAGGGTGTGCCGAATTGGGTGTGGGTGACGATGCGGGCGCGGGCACTGGGGCCTTCGGTGGAGCTCCTATGGGGCTACGAAACGCTGTACTGGGTGGGTGGAACGCAGGGAGAGGAGAGGAGAGGAGAGGAGAGGAGAGGAGAGGAGAGGAGAGGAGAGGAGAGGAGAGGAGAGGAGAGGAGAGGAGAGGAGAGGAGAGGAACGCGGGGCACCGTCTCTTCAAAACGAGGACCCAACACCACAGGATGGTTGGGAAAAAAAAAAGAATAAGTCGGAAAATCGCCCCCAGGCTATCAACTGTTTTTGAGCATTCCCCCTGTAGAGGGACAGGCCCGACTCAAGACTGGCCCTGCTGGAGCGCGCCGTATCCCGGCGGGGCGGCCTCCCCAGCCCAGGAAGGAAAACCGCCGTACAGTCGGGCGGCTGAAAGACGGAACGATAAACAAGGAACGAAGCCCCTTTTCTGGCCCCACAACCGCCTGCGTACACGAGGAAGGCTAGAGGAAAAGCCATAGAACGATCTAAGGAATATCGAGCCCATTTCTTACCCAAACTGTTTCTTATTTCAGCGACTTGGCTGTACACCCTGCGAAATGCTTAAGAAATCATGGGTTAAGAAATTCATAGTCTCAGAACTTGAATAAAAAAAACCCAAAAGTTCAATTAAAATCTTAGGAGTTACATTGAAACGTTAAGAATAATCGAGACTCTGGCCGAAATTTTAAGTTTTCTTAAGCATCGCCTACGGTGTACCTCTCCCCCCTCGGAGCCTGGCGGTGCAGCGGTGCACCTCGCGCACGGCGGCCAGCGTGCCAGGCAGGGCGCCCGCGCCCGCCATCGGCCCGCGCGCGGTCTCCAGGGCGGTCGGGCCCAGGCCTCCAACAATGTACAGTCGGACCCAGGCCAGAAAAGCAGCATCAGCATCAGCATCAGCATCAGCATCAGCATCAGCATCAGCATCATCATCATCATCATCATCATCATCATCATCCTCCTCCTCATCATCATCATCATCATCATCATCATCATCATCATCATCATCATCATCATCATCAATACCATCATCATCAGCAGCAGCATCATCAGCATCAGCATCAGCATCAGCATCAGCATCAGCATCATCATCAGCAGCATCAGCATCAGCATCAGCAGGAGCATCAGCAGCAGCATCAGCATCATCATCAGTATCATCATCATCAGCATCAGCATCATCAGCATCATCACCATCATCATAATCATAATCAGCGTCATCATCATCATCAGCATCAGCATCAGCATCAGCATCAGCATCATCATCATCATTATCATCATCATCATCATCATCAGCATCATCATCATCATCATCATCATCATCATCATCATCATCATCATCATCATCATCACAATCATCCACCTCCTTCCCCCCTCCAATTTTATGGTGGTGGTGGTGGAGAACTGGCCCATCAATCGACCCTAGGCCAGAAGAGCATCCGTCAAGAACATGAGAAGCTCCGCAGGCTAGGGCAAACAGAACATCCAAGGGTACTCCCCATCCCGGGACGCACAGGGGCTTCCAAGGAGCTCGCAGGACATCAAGGTACCCTCCCCGAGCCGACCTCGATCTTGGACGGACTGCATCGAAAAAAACAGCACGGCGGTTGTTCGCAATCTTCGGCAGGCCCTGGGACCGTCAGGAGCGATCGGGGACGAGAGACCAGAGAGCAGTCCCAGGCACGCGGTCCAGAGCTCTGGGAACCCCGCACGGAACAAGTCGAGACGTCGGAGGTCTGGGGAGGACACCAACTGCACACCCACACCGATCCTGGCCAGGTCGCCCTGCCCAGGCCAGAAAAGGCGTGTGCACCGATGCTGGGCCCAAGATGGGCCTGGCCAGCAAGACCGGTGTGGGTGTTGTAGTTGGTGCCCTCCTCCTGGCGGAAGCGAGCGTTGTCCGGCAGAGTTCCTGTGTTTTCTAAAGCTGCCCCCCGCCCACGCACCACGTTCAGGTGCATGCGCCCTCCCGTCCCGAGGCCCCCTTTCTCGGGGGCGCGCAAGCATGGATTCGCGATCAAGGGATTTGGCGCGCGGTCGCCATCTCCATGGATCGGGGGAGGTGCCCTCATCAATTTCGGACGGTGCCGCCTCGTTCGGCAGCGGAAAGCCGCGATTTCCCATGGGGACCCGTCGCTAATCCACGCCCCCTTGATCCATGTCTGCGATCGCCTGACTTCCCCAAGTAGGCTTAAGTCGGGCATGTCCCCCTACAGGCGGATTTTTTGACGAAAAATAAAAGTAATCAAAAAATTCTAATTAATACCACAAAATCGTCCCCCGACTATTTTTGAATATTCCTCCTGTAGCGGGACAGGCCCGACTCAAAGGTAGACCATAGCGAATCTCCGGGGTCACCAAGGCCGCCGAAGCCACCAAGCTTGCCCCGTTCCTCCCTGAGCCGCCAGCAGCCCCCGTGGACGAAGACCCGAACAGGCGCCATGGAGCCCCCAGAGGCCTCCAGGACATCCAACAGGGAAGGCCAAGAGGCAACCCAGGGAGGTCCAAATATAATTCATCCTTGACATACCGCTGTTGGCGTGAAGAGCGCCCACATAGAAACGACAAGACAGAGGGCCCGACCCCGTGCACCCCGTTTCAATGTTGCGTTCGCGGCCGCTGTCGGGGTGCAAGCATCGGCATGAAAACGCCCAGATAGGCACCGCCAAGGCAAACCCGTTTTCAACATTGAAATCGGGGGGCACGGGGGTCCTGAAGAATTCTGCGTTGACCTTTACGCGTGGTGGCCGTTTTTCACGACAATGGCGATGTGCCCCCATGAAACACGCTCCCCCGCGGATGATGATGCCCACGAAGTACATACCTCAGGCCCAGAATCACGCGAGGACCAGGCTGCAGCAAGCGAGCCCACGTCAAAAGTAGTCCTAGCGAAGGACCCACCTAATTATAGAAAGCTGCGAGGAGGCTGAATGCGGGAGGGGGCCAGCCAAAAGGCCTGCAGCGCGGACCGGGGGGAAGAGCGGGCACGGGCGATGCGGGGGGTCTTCCTTGGTTGCGCGCGAGCCGTGGGCGCCGCTGTCTCCTGCCGGCTTCCGTGCCAAGTCCTGGCCCGAGCCCTGGGCGCCGCCGTGACGTGTCCGCTCCACTCATCTGTCTTCGCTCGTTGTCCCTCCGCCCGGCCGCGGCCCTGGCACGGCGCTGCGCGGAGTCCCCGCAACGCGCGACGCGCGCGCGCGTCGCCCAGAAAGGGTCCCGGAGGTGCGCGCGGGTCGTCCGCGGCACGGTGTAGAATGAAACATGGCGGTCGACAACAGGCGAGGCGATGGGCAGAACGTGTGGGAATCGAGCGCTGGCCACGAGACGTATGAGGGACGCGCCGGAAAGAGTGCAACGCCAGCATGCGAATCCTCCCACTGAGGGCTTCGGTAGAGCTCCCTATGGGGCCACGAAGAGCGAAATGAGTGTGCCGAAATGGACGAGGAGCCGCATGTGGACCCTGCCACGGGGGCCTTCGGTGGAGCTCCCTTTGGGGCCACGAGACGTGTGAAGGGTGTCAAAATGGCCGCGGAGCCGCATTAGAACCCTGTCACTGGAGCCTTCGGTGGAGCTCCCTGGGAGGCCACGAGACGTGGACATGCGGTGGGCGGGGAGCCGCATGTGAACCCTGCCACTGGAGCCTTCGGTGGGGCTCCTTGTGGGGATCGAAACGTGTTGAGGGATGCGCCAGAATGGACATGCGGCGGGCGGAGAGCCGCATGTAAACCCTGCCACTGGGGCCTTCGGAGGAGCTCCGTATGGGGTCACGAAACGTGTGGGGTGGTGCCGAAATGGCCATGTGGTGGATAGGGAGCCGCATGCGAGCACTGCCACTGGGGCCTTCGGAGCTCCGTATGGGGCTGAGAAACGTGTGAAGGGTGTGCCGAAGAAGACATGCGGTGGGCGGGGAGCCGAATGCAAACCCTGCCACTGGGGCCTTTGGAGGAGCTCTTTTTGGGGCCACACGACGTGTGAGGGGTGTGCAGACATGGACATGGTGGGCGGGGAGCCGCATGTGAACCCTGCCACTGGGGCCTTCGGAGGAGCTCCGTATGGGGTCTCGGAAAGACGCCATCGGTACCTGATGATGATGAAGACGATGCAGATGATAATCTTGCTGATGGTGGTGATGTTGCTGCTGACCGCGATGCTAATGATGAGACTGTGGTGATGGTGGTGGCGATGATGACGTTGATGATGATGCCGACAGTAGTGATGAGGACATCGGAGAGCAAAGGCCCGGACGAGAGGTGCGTAGGGCAGAGGCAAGGATGGGAGGAGAAGGGGGAGGCGAGAGCAGGAGAGGAGAGGACGCGCGGCGATGCGTATTCCAAGACGAGAAAACCAACACCACAGGATGGTTGGGGACTGCCAAGCCGCCCGGCTCAAGATGGTTCCAGGAGGGCCTCGGAGCAGCCAGAACGGCACCAAAAGAGCCCTCCAAAGCCCCCCAAACGGCCAGGACAGCCGCAACAGGGCCCAAGACGGCCCCCAGAGGGACCCAGGGCAGCCCAAGGGAGCCCCAAGAGACGCCCGAGACAACCCAAGAGAATCGCGCGAATGCGGAGAGGGGCGCGAGACGGCCGGAGGCAGTACCAAGACGGCCCAAGAGAGGCCTGAGGCCACACACAAGAGGGCCCCACAGGGGCCTAAGACAGCCTCAGGTAGCCCACCTGAGAGCCCCGTCAAGGAATAGAGGCGAGAAGTTGTACATGCTACTGGCACCTACGCGGTGATTGAAGCAGTGGTGGAGCTTGTCACATGCAGCTGAACATCCTCCTCCTCCTCCTCCTCCTCCTCATCCTCCTCCTCATCCTCATCCTCATCCTCATCCTCCTCATCATCATCAGCAGCATCATCATCAGCATCATCATCAGCATCAGCAGCATCATCATCATCATCATCATCATCATCATCATCATCATCATCAGCATGATCAGCATCATCATCATCATCATCAGCAGCAGCAGCAGCATCGTCATCATCATCGTCATCATCATCATCATCATCATCATCATCATCATCATCATCATCATCATCATCATCATCATCGTCAGCATCAGCATTAGCATCAGCATCATGATCATCATCATCATCGTCATCATCATCATCCTCATGATCCTCATCCTCATCCTCATCCTCATCCGCATCATGATCCTCATCATCAGCATCATCATCAGCAGCATCATCATCATCAGCATCATCATCATTATCAGCATCATCATCATCATCATCATCATCATCATCATCATCATCATCATCATCATCATCATCATCATCATCATCCTTTTCACCGTTGTCCCCCCCTCCGCCTCCCATGGGTCCTGTTCCTCCTCAACGTCCCTCTATGTAATGACCCACACCCCCAACCGAATGCGTAGTCGCAGCTTGGACCTTCACTGGCACAGCTTGCGTGTGGCTGTGAGCCAGCAACTGGCGCGCTGCACACTAGTTTCAGTTAGCATTCCGCACAATGCATGCACTCAGAACAATTACCACAAAGCATCGACGTTGAAGACGGTACATGGACCTCTTATACGGGACACTGTACGCCGCAAGATGTGCCAAGCTCCGAATGCAGCCTAACAGGTACTGCGCACCGTATACTGCATGCTACACGCTTGCAACTAGAACATGCAAGCTATATCATACGCTGTGTAAGGCGAGCTGCAGACCCTACACTGCACGCAGCACAGTCACCGCTTCATCATAATACCACACCTTCAAGCAACCCTGACACTTCACTGGCTCTGAATATCCGCCAACGTACCTCTGGGTACGGAGTGGGCGTGTCTTCAGGTTCTCTGCCCAATCCCTGGAGCCTCAATCCCCAGTCATGAGGAGTCCTTCATGGGCCGGGGCTCAAAAATCCTAAATT